GGGGGTTTAGACCAAATAAATTCCCGATCTAAAGGACAGGGGGTTCTAGACCATAAAAAAATCAGCCCAAATGGACAGGGGGTTTTTGGGCCCTTTAAAAAATCAGGGGCTAAAGGAAAAGCGGGGTTTAAAACCCCCAAAAATCAGATCAATGGGCAGGGGGGGGGTTTGGGCCATAATAAAACAGACCTTTAAAGGACAGGGGGGGTTTTAGACCATAATAAATAAAACTAAAAAGGGGCAGGGGGTTCTAGACCATAATTTAAAACAGACTTTAAAAAGGACAGGGGGTTCTAGACCGTAATAAATCAGACCTAATGGACAGGGGGGTTTTTAGGGCCATAAAAACAGATCTAAATTTGGAAAAGGGGGTTCTAGACAAATAAACCCCGGGCCTAATGGACAGGGGGTTTTAGAAAAATAATAAATCAGACTAAATGGACAGGGGGGTTTTAGACCATTAAAAAAAAGATCTAATGGCCCGGGGGTTCTTGGGCCATAATAAAAACGGGCCAAAAGGACAGGGGGTTCTAGGGGCCCTAATAAATCGACCTAATGGCAGGGGGTTCAGACCAATTTTAAAAAATCAGACTAAATGGGGCAGGGGGGGTAGACCAAAAAGAAATCCCGACTAAAGGGAAAAAGGGGTTTAACCATAAAAAAATCAGAAATAAATGGACGGGGGTTCTGGGCCCAAAAAAATTAGGGCTAAAAAGGACAGGGGGGTTTTGGAAAAATAATAATCACTAAAAGGAAAGCGGGGTTTTAGACCATAATAAATCAGGGCCTAATGGGAAAAGGGGGGGGTAGGGCCATAAAAATCAGAATAAAATGGGGCAGGGGGGTTTTAGGGGGTAATAAATCAGACCTTTAAAGGAACCGGGGGGGTTTTAGACCCTAAAAATCAGACAAAGGGGCAGGGGGTTTTTAGCCAAAAATAATCAGGGCTAAAATTTGGGCAGGGGGGGGTGGGCCTAATAAATTCGACTAAAAAGGACGGGGGGGGTTCTAGACCATAATAAATCAGACTAAATGGACAGGGGGTTCTAGACCATAATAAATCAGACTAAATGGACAGGGGGTTCTAGGGCCCAAAAATAAAACAGGGCTAAAAGGAAGGGGGGGGTTTTTAGACCAAATAAATCAGACTAAATGGGGCAGGGGGGGCTTTGACCATAATAAATCAGACTAAAAATGGAAAGGGGGGTTTAGACCTAAAAATCAGACTTAAATGGACAGGGGGTTTTAGACCATAATAAATAGACTAAATGGACGGGGGTTTTAGACCAAAAATTTAAAAACACTAAAGGAAAAGCGTGTTTTGGGCCATAATAAATCAGATCTAAGGAAGGGGGTTTTAGGGCCATAATAAAAAACAGGGCCTTTAAAGGACAGGGGGGTTTAGACCCTATAAATCAGACTAAAGGAAGGGGGTTTTAGACCAATTTAAAAAAATCAGAAATAAAGGGACAGGGGGTTCAGACCCCTAAAAAATCCGACCTAATGGAAGGGGGTTTTTGCCATAATTTAAAACAGATTAATGGACAGGGGGTTCTAAGGGCCATAAAAAAATCAGGGCCTAATGGACAGGGGGTTCTAGACCATAATAATCGAATAAATGGGCAGGGGGGGTTTAGCCATAATAAATCAGATATAATGGACGGGGGGGTAGACCATAAAAATCGGGCCTAATGGACAGGGGGGGTTTAGACCCTAATAAATCAGACCTAAGGGGCAGGGGTTTAGACCATAATAAAACGACTAAATGGAAAAGGGGTTCAGCCCCTAATAAAACAGAATAAAAGGACAGGGGGTTCTAGACCTAAGAAATCAGGGCTAAAGGACAGGGGGTTTAGACCCTAATTTAAAACAGAAAAATGGACAGGGGGTTTAGGGGCCATATAAATCAGACTAAAAGGAAAGCGGGTTTTTTAGACCCTAATAAATCAGACCCAATGGACAGGGGGGTTTTAGACCTAATAAATCAGACTAAAAGGACAGGGGGTTTAGACCATAAAAAATCCGGGCTAAAGGACAGGGGGTTTTAGAACCCTAATTTAAATTTTTTTTTAAGGGCTAAATGGACAGGGGGGGGTAGACCCTAATAAATCAGGAAATAAATGGACAGGGGGTTTTGGACCATAATAAATCAGGGCTTAAAAAGGACAGGGGGTTCTAGGGCCATAAAAATCAGCTAAATGGAAAAGGGGTTCTAGACCAAAAAATACATCAGAATAAAAAGGGGGGGAAAAGGGGGGTTTTAGACCCTAAAAATCAGACTAAATGGACGGGGGTTTAGACCATAATGAATCAGGGCTAAAGGACAGGGGGGTTCAGACCAAAAATAAATAAAACTAAAAGGACAGGGGGGTTTTAGGGCCATAATAAATCGGGAAAATGGAAAAGGGGGTTTTTAGACCATTTAAAAAATGACTAAAGGCAGGGGGGTTTTAGCCCAAATAAAACAGACTAAATGGACAGGGGGTTTTTAGACCCTTTAAAAAATCAAAACTAAAGGGGCAGGGGGTTTTTAGCCATAATAAAACAAAACCCAATGGACAGGGGGTTTTGACCTAAAAAATCAGAATAATGGACAGGGGGTTTAGACCATAATAAAAACAGACAAATGGACAGGGGGTTTGGGCCATAATTTAAAACAGACTAAAGGGGCAGGGGGGGTTTAGACCATTTAAAAAATCAGACCTTTAAAGGGGGCAGGGGGTTTAGACCCCTAAAAAATCGGGCTAAATGGCAGGGGGGGGGTTTTAGACCATAATAAATCAGACTAAAAAGGGCGGGGGGGGCTAGAACCCTAAGAAATCAGACTAAAAGGACAGGGGGTCCAGACCATAATAAAAACAGAAAAAATGGACAGGGGGGTTTTGACCCTAATAAAACAGATAAAAAGGCAGGGGTTCAGGACCATAATAAATCAGGACAAATGGACCCGGGGGTTCTAGACCATAAAAAATCAGGGCCTTTAAAAGGAAAAGGGGGGTTTTAGGGCCCTAATAAATCAGACCCAATGGGCAGGGGGGGGGTTCTAGAACCCCTTTAAAAAATCGGGCCAAGGGGCAGGGGGGGGGTTTTACCAAAAAAAATCAGACCAAAGGACAGGGGGTTCTAACCATAAAAAAAATCGGGCCAAATGGAAAAGGGGGGTTTTAGACCAAATAAATAGACTAAAAGGACAGGGGGTTTTTTAAAACCATAATAAATCAGGGGCTTTAAAAGGGAAAAGGGGGGGTTTTAGACCCATAATAAAAACCCGACCTAAAGGACAGGGGGTTCAAGACCATAATAAATCAGACCTTTAAGGACAGGGGGTTCTAGACCTAAAAAATCGACCCTTAAAAGGGGCAGGGGGTTCTTTGACCCCCCCCCTTTAAAACAGAAAATAAATGGACAGGGGGGTTTTGACCATAAAAATCCCGCTAAATTGGGCAAGGGGGGGTTTTTAGACCATAATAAATGGGAAAAAAGGAAAAGGGGGAAAAAAAAAAAGGAAAAAGGGCAGGGGGTTTTAAAAACCTAATAAATCAAAAACTAAAGGGGAAAAGGGGGTTTAAAAAGACCAAAAAAAAATCAGATAAATTGGGCAGGGGGTTTAGACCATAATTTAAAAAGGGCTAAAAAGGGAAAAGGGGGGGTTTTTTAGATAAAACACAACCCTAAATTAAAAACAGACTTAAAAGGAAGGGGGTTCTGACCATAAAAATTTAGGAAATAAATGGGGCAGGGGTTCTAGACCATAATAAATCAGGGCTAAATGGACAGGGGGGTTTAGGGCCGAAAACCGACCCAAAAGAAGGGGTTTTAGACCCGTTTAAAATCGCTTAAAAAAGGGGGGGGTTCGACCCAGGGGGGGTTTTTAGAGCAAGGGGGCAATCCTTGGGGGTTCCCGGGGGGAGGGGGGCCCTGGCGCTTTCAATGGGCCCGGTTTGGGTTCGATTCCCCGGGGGGGCCAGTTGGTAGAGCATGGCGCTTGCAATGCCAGGGTTGTGGGTTCGATTCCCACGGGGGGGCCCAGTTGGTAGAGCATGGCGCTTGCAATGCCAGGGTTGTGGGTTCGATTCCCACGGGGGGGCCAGTTGGTAGAGCATGGCGCTTGCAATGCCAGGGTTGTGGGTTCGATTCCCACGGGGGGGCCAAGTTGGTAGAGCATGGCGCTTGCAATGCCAGGGTTGTGGGTTCGATTCCCACGGGGGGCCAGTTGGTAGAGCATGGCGCTTGCAATGCCAGGGTTGTGGGTTCGATTCCCACGGGGGGCCAGTTGGTTAGAGCATGGCGCTTGCCAAACGCCAGGGTTGTGGGTTTGATTCCCACGGGGGCAGTTGGTTAGAGCATGGCGCTTGCAACGCCAGGGTTGTGGGTTCGATTCCCACGGGGGCCAGTTGGTAGAGCATGGCGCTTGCAACGCCAGGGTTGTGGGTTCGATTCCCACGGGGGGCCAGTTGGTAGAGCATGGCGCTTGCAACGCCAGGGTTGTGGGTTCGATTCCCACGGGCGGCCAGTATGAAAAATGCATGCACTCACTAACTGTAAGTGGCTCTGGATAAGAGCGTCTGCTAAAATGTAAGAAATGAGGCGCTTTACGGGATCTGATTAATTCCAACTTGGTGTTTCCTTCTCTTTACAACAGGTTGGGGAGGAGTTGGATTCTTCAATGACCTGAATCACTCTGCCAGGGTCCTGTATTTTATCACCCCATTGTCTTGTGGGGAAGACCTTGATACTTGTCCTTTTTGCCCATTCATTCTCTATAGCCAATAGCGTGAAAGACATCCCTGTGCTTAGACGAACCATTTCCTCCAGCTCACACCCGAGACTATAGCCCGGGACCGTACTCCTGAAACGTTTTAACCAGTCGCGCCACGGAAAGGGATCCAATTCAATGGTGCAATTAATGACTTTTCAGGCTGAGGAGTGAGTTTACAAATCCCCATCTATTAAATAACACCTCAGTCACCATCTCTTTGTAAATGTATTGTACCCAAAGGAAGAGACTGCAGTTGAGCAGAGTTCTATTCCTCCTATCGGGTGTTCTGCTGTGTTGTCTCTACCAGCTGACTATCACCTCCAAGCTCTCCCCAGGACCCTGGCCCCATGCCCTGCCCCAGCTAGGTGAGGGGTCTGGGGATGGAGAAGGCCTGACAGGGGCCCTCCTGGACGGGGGACGCAGTGTTGACACACAAGAGGTGGATATTATAGATTTAATGACAACTGAAGTGTTCGATTATTACTCTGAGACGATTACAGATGATGTCACACCATCCACTACCACTGAGGATACCATTGACACAGATGTCTCATCATCATCATCATCATCATCATCAGTGACTACAATCCGGACTATCGTTCACTGCATCTATGTAGACCCAGAGCCTCCCCTTCAGATCCCCACCCTGCCCAACCCACCACCGACCCATCCGGTCCCCAACACCACCCTAGCCTCCCCTGCCGACCTTGGGGACGCCCCTCATCAGAAGGGAGAGTACCCCACGGATATCTTCTCCGTGGAGGACCGGAGACGAGGCTGGGTGTCGCTCCACATCTTGGGGATGATGTACATGTTCGTCTCACTCGCCATCGTGTGCGACGAATTTTTTGTCCCTGCGCTCGGCGTCATCACAGACCAGCTGGCCATCTCCGACGACGTGGCCGGGGCAACCTTCATGGCGGCGGGAGGCTCCGCCCCGGAGCTGTTCACATCTCTGATTGGCGTGTTCATCTCTCATAGCAATGTGGGCATCGGGACGATTGTGGGGTCGGCGGTGTTCAATATCCTGTTTGTCATTGGGATGTGTGCCATTTTCTCCAGGGAGATGCTGCACCTCACCTGGTGGCCCCTGTTCAGGGACGTCTCCTTCTATATCATAGGTAATAATATACTAACACAGGTAAAGGGAGATGTTCCACCGCAGCCCTTTTTACATCAGCAGTTGTCAAAGTGCATTAAAGTAACTGGGCCTAAGCCCTAGAGTGCACAGTGGCCAGGAGAAACTCCTTAGAGGGAAGCAACCTGGAGAGGCACCTGGCTCAGAGGGGTGGGCTGTCCTCCTCTGGCTGAACCAGGTGGAGATTAAGAGTACATGTGGCCATCAAGGCCAGATAGTTTCTGAGTCCAGAGGGCGGGAGAGAGAGAGGTGTTCCACTCCTAAATAAATGATAGGGTGCTTGGAGCCAACAGTCGATCTCAATCACATTCAAAATGAAAAAAATAAAGACCATATCACTGAAGCTATTATTCACAACATGATCGTTTACCAACCCAGGTTAGCAAAGTAGAAACCTTTAAGTGATCCATTTCAGAAATGTTGTCTCTGACTGTGTTCTCTAACCTCTTGCTGTGTTCTCTAATCTTTTGCTTATGATGAATGAACATCTATAATGTTTTCAGACTTGATCATGTTGATCATCTTCTTCCTGGACAACACCATCATGTGGTATGAGAGTATGATGCTGGTGGCTGGCTACAGCTCCTATGTTTGCTTCATGAAATACAACGTTCAGCTGGAGGCAGCGTTCAAGAACCAGCTCAGGAAACATCAGCACATCATTAATATTATCACTGTGGCTGTTGAGGATGAACCTGACAAGGTACATTCACAAAGTAGAACAGAGAACTTATATTTGAAGTATTTTTGATACAGTGTTCCTTTGTTACAGATACACTGTCTTGATCTAGGCCAGGGTGTCCAACTCATTTTGCCCCATGGGCTGCATTCGGTCTTCTTCCTCGCCATCAAAATTTCCTAAAACATTTTGGGAATTTTAAATGCTCCCGGACTGTCTAGTTTTCATTTCAGTAATTATTTGGGGTGCTGGAAACAGTCAAAATACTATGAATATAGGTCCATTATCATTTCTACACCGTTTCGATTTGGTTTGAGTCATTTTAAACTATATTGAGCTCGTTTCCACAAAAAAAAAAAAAAATTTTCAATCCCATTATTATTCTTAATTTTTTACTGAAACTGGAGAAACCGGAGAGGACCCCCTGATCTAGGCTTTAAAATCAGGACCCCCTGATCTAGGCTTTAAAAGATTTATAGAAAATCACTGCATTATCATGGTCTATTGACACACAGAGTAGCAGGTGGGAGGGATATCTGTACACGTCAGGGGTAGATCATGCAGATAATTTTGTGAAAATACACATGGAGGCTGGCTCCTGTGTAAGAAGAATCATGTGATACAGCTCATTGGTAATCTGGTTTCCCTCAGACATGGAGGACCTGATTCAGCAATACATCTCCTTCAAAATCCCTTCACAAACTTCATCCAAGTTTTCAAGGCACATGTTGATGATCATGGGTCCTTTAAAGTAAAATCACTCACTGATGATGGTCATCGTTCTTTCAGGTTCGTCACCAACCCCAGTGCAGCGTGGGAAGTTCTGGTTCATTAATAAGGGAGAGCTGAGAATGAGACCATCACTTGAGATGATCTGCCATGGGGATAACATCTGTGTACACCTGGTGTTGTTAGGAGTGGGAGGAGTCTTACCTAGGGCCCTTGTAGAACTAAAGCTGATCACGTGACCCTTATAATCCTGAGGGGCTTCAGCATATCCACCTAACTCCTGTAATGGTGATTGAGCCTTTTGTACAGTTGAAGTCATTAAAACTCGTTTTTCAACCACTCCACAACTTTCTTGTTAACAAACTATAGTTTTGGCAAGTCGGTTAGGACATATACTTTGTGCATGACACAAGTAATTTTTCCAACAATTGTTTACAGACAGATTATTTCACTCATAATTCACTGTATCACAATTCCAGTGGGTCAGAAGTTACATACACTAAGTTGACTGTGCCTTTAAACAGCATGGAAAATTCCAGAAAATGATGTCATGGCTTTAGAAGCTTCTGATAGGCTAATTAACATAATTTGAGTCAATTGGAGGTGTACCTGTGGATGTATTTCAAGGCCTACCTTCAAACTCAGTGCCTCTTTGCTTGACGTCATGGGAAAATCAAAAGAAATCAGCCAAGACCTCAGGAAAAAAATGGTAGACCTCCACAAGTCTGATTCATCCTTGGGAGCAATTTCCAAACGCCTGAAGGTACCACGTTCATCTGTACAAACAATAGTAAGCAAGTATAAACACCATGGGACCACGCAGCCGTCATACCGCTCAGGAAGGAGACGTGTTCTGTCTCCTAGAGATAAACGTACTTTGGTGCGAAAAGTGCAAATCAATCCCAGAACAACAGCAAAGGACCTTGTGAAGATGCTGGAGGAAACAGGTACAAAAGTATCTATATCCACAGTAAAACGACATAACCTGAAAGGCCGCTCAGCAAGGAAGAAGCCACTGCTCCAAAACCGCCATAAAAAAGCCAGACCACGATTTGCAACTGCACATGTGGACAAAGATCGTACCTTTTGGAGAAATGTCCTCTGGTCTGATGAAACAAAAATAGAACTGTTTGGCCATAATGACCATCGTTATGTTTGGAGGAAAAAGGGGTGGCTTGCAAGGCAAAGAACACCATCCCAACCGTGAAGCACGGGGTGGCAGCATCATGCTGTGGGGGTGCTTTGCTGCAGGAGGGACTGGTGCACTTCACAAAATAGATGGCATGATGAGGAAGGAAAATTATGTGGAAATATTGAAGCAACATCTCAAGACATCAGTCAGGAAGTTAAAGCTTGGTCGCAAATGGGTTTTCCAAATGGACAATGACCCCAAGCATACTTCCAAAGTTGTGGCAAAATGGCTTAAGGACAACAAAGTCAAGGTATTGGAGTGGCCATCACAAAGCCCTGACCTCAATCCTATAGAAAATGTGTGGGCAGAACTGAAAAAGCGTGTGTGAGCAAGGAGGCCTACAAACCTGACTCAGTTACACCAGCTCTGTCAGGAGGAATGGGCCAAAATTCACCCAACTTATTGTGGGAAGCTTGTGGAAGGCAACCCGAAACGTGTGACCCAGGTTAAACAATTTAAAGGCAGTGCTACCAAATACTAATTGAGTGTATGTAAACTTCTGACCCAATGGGAATGTGATGAAAGAAATAAAAGATGAAATAAATCATTCTCTCTACTATTATTCTGACATTTCACATTCTTAAAATAAAGTGGTGATCCTAACTGAACTAAGACATGGAATTTTTACTAATCAAATCAAATCAAATTTTATTGGTCACATGCGCCGAATACAACAGGTGCAGACATCACAGGGACATTACTAGGATTAAATGTCAGGAATTGTGATAAACTGAGTTTAAATGTATTTGGCTAAGGTGTATGTAAACTTCCGACTTCAACTGTAGAACACATAGGGTAAGAAGCATGCTTGGTCAGGGGTTGTTGTTGTATGTAATACCCTTTAGTACAACCAAAACATGCACTGTAACTGTGAGCTCTACTCCTTTATATGACAAAAATATGTTGGGAAATGTTTTGGTCCATTTAAAGTGGCGGCATGTTCTGGAATGTTTCAACATCTGGGGAATCCTTGTTGTCCACAGGATGAGACAGCAGGTCAGAATAGTGGCCCTCCTGCCCCAGAAGACAAGAACCTATTAAAGGTAAACAGCTAGACAGATTATTAGGATCTCCATTAGTAGTTTATTAGGATCCACAGTAGTAGTTTATTAGGATCCACAGTAGTAGTTTATAAGGATCCACAGTAGTAGTTTATTAGGATCCCCATTAGTAGTTTATAAGGATCCCCATTAGTAGTTTATTAGGATCCCCATTAGTAGTTTATAAGGATCCCCATTAGTAGTTTATTAGGATCCCCATTAGTAGTTTATAAGGATCCCCAGTAGTAGTTTATTAGGATCCCCATTAGTAGTTTATTAGGATCCCCAGTAGTAGTTTATTAGGATCCCCATTAGTAGTTTATTAGGATCCCCATTAGTAGTTTATAAGGATCCCCATTAGTAGTTTATTAGGATCCCCATTAGTAGTATATTAGGATCCCCATTAGTAGTTTATAAGGATCCCCATTAGTAGTTTATTAGGATCCCCAGTAGTAGTATATTAGGATCCCCATTAGTAGTTTATTAGGATCCCCAGTAGTAGTATATTAGGATCCCCATTAGTAGTATATTAGGATCCCCATTAGTAGTTTATTAGGATCCCCATTAGTAGTTTATTAGGATCCACAGTAGTAGTTTATTAGGATCCACAGTATTAGTTTATTAGGATCCCCAGTAGTAGTTTATTAGGATCCCCATTAGTAGTTTATTAGGATCCCCAGTAGTAGTTTATTAGGATCCCCATTAGTAGTTTATTAGGATCCCCAGTAGTAGTTTATTAGGATCCCCAGTAGTAGTTTATTAGGATCCACAGTAGTAGTTTATTAGGATCCCCAGTAGTAGTTTATAAGGATCCACAGTAGTAGTTTATTAGGATCCCCATTAGTAGTTTATTAGGATCCCCATTAGTAGTTTATTAGGATCCCCATTAGTAGTTTATTAGGATCCCCATTAGTAGTTTATTAGGATCCACATTAGTAGTATATTAGGATCCCCAGTAGTAGTTTATTAGGATCCACAGTAGTAGTTAATTAGGATCCCCAGTAGTAGTTTATTAGGATCCCCATTAGTAGATTATTAGGATCCCCATTAGTAGTATATTAGGATCCCCATTAGTAGTTTATTAGGATCCACATTAGTAGTTTATTAGGATCCCCAGTAGTAGTATATTAGGATCCCCATTAGTAGTATATTAGGATCCCCATTAGTAGTTTATTAGGATCCACATTAGTAGTTTATTAGGATCCCCAGTAGTAGTTTATTAGGATCCCCATTAGTAGTATATTAGGATCCCCATTAGTAGTTTATTAGGATCCACATTAGTAGTGTATTAGGATCCCCAGTAGTAGTTTATTAGGATCCCCATTAGTAGTTTATTAGGATCCCCAGTAGTAGTTGATTAGGATCCACAGTAGTAGTTTATTAGGATCCACAGTAGTAGTTTATTAGGATCCACAGTAGTAGTTTATTAGGATCCCCAGTAGTAGTTTATTAGGATCCCCAGTAGTAGATTATTAGGATCCCCATTAGTAGTATATTAGGATCCCCATTAGTAGTTTATTGGGATCCCCAGTAGTCGTTTATTAGGATCCCCATTAGTAGTTTATTGGGATCCCCATTAGTAGTTTATTAGGATCCCCATTAGTAGTTTATTAGGATCCCCAGTAGTAGTTTATTAGAATCCCCATTAGTAGTTTATTGGGATCCCCATTAGTAGTTTATTGGGATCCCCATTAGTAGTTTATTAGGATCCCCATTAGTAGTTTATTAGGATCCCCAGTAGTAGTTTATTAGGATCCCCATTAGTAGTTTATTAGGAACCCCAGTAGTAGTTTATTAGGATCCCCAGTAGTAGTTTATTAGGATCCCCAGTAGTAGTTTATTAGGATCCCCAGTAGTAGTTTATTAGGATCCCCAGTAGTAGTTTATTAGGATCCCCAGTAGTAGTTTATTAGGATCCCCAGTAGTAGTTTATTAGGATCCCCATTAGTAGTTTATTAGGATCCCCATTAGTAGTATATTAGGATCCCCATTAGTAGTTTATTAGGATCCCCAGTAGTAGTTTATTAGGATCCACAGTAGTAGTTTATTAGGATCCCCAGTAGTAGTTTATTAGGATCCCCAGTAGTAGTTTATTAGGATCCCCATTAGTAGTTTATTAGGATCCCCAGTAGTAGTATATTAGGATCCCCATTAGTAGTTTATTAGGATCCCCAGTAGTAGTATATTAGGATCCCCATTAGTAGTTTATTAGGATCCCCAGTAGTAGTTTATTAGGATCCCCATTAGTAGTTTATTAGGATCCCCAGTAGTAGTTTATTAGGATCCCCAGTAGTAGTTTATTAGGATCCCCAGTAGTAGTTTATTAGGATCCCCATTAGTAGTTTATTAGGATCCCCAGTAGTAGTTTATTAGGATCCCCAGTAGTAGTTTATTAGGATCCCCAGTAGTAGTTTATTAGGATCCCCAGTAGTAGTTTATTAGGATCCACAGTAGTAGTTTATTAGGATCCCCAGTAGTAGTTTATTAGGATCCCCATTAGTAGTTTATTAGGATCCCCAGTAGTAGTATATTAGGATCCCCATTAGTAGTTTATTAGGATCCCCAGTAGTAGTTTATTAGGATCCCCAGTAGTAGTTTATTAGGATCCCCAGTAGTAGTTTATTAGGATCCACAGTAGTAGTATATTAGGATCCCCAGTAGTAGTTTATTAGGATCCACAGTAGTAGTATATTAGGATCCCCAGTAGTAGTTTATTAGGATCCCCATTAGTAGTTTATTAGGATCCCCATTAGTAGTTTATTAGGATCCCCAGTAGTAGTTTATTAGGATCCACATTAGTAGTTTATTAGGATCCCCAGTAGTAGTTTATTAGGATCCCCATTAGTAGTTTATTAGGATCCACAGTAGTAGTTTATTAGGATCCCCAGTAGTAGTTTATTAGGATCCCCAGTAGTAGTTTATTAGGATCCCCATTAGTAGTTTATTAGGATCCCCAGTAGTAGTTTATTAGGATCCCCAGTAGTAGTTTATTAGGATCCCCAGTAGTAGTTTATTAGGATCCCCAGTAGTAGTTTATTAGGATCCCCATTAGTAGTTTATTAGGATCCCCAGTAGTAGTTTATTAGGATCCCCAGTTGTAGTTTATTAGGATCCCCATTAGTAGTTTATTAGGATCCCCATTAGTAGTTTATTAGGATCCCCATTAGTAGTTTATTAGGATCCCCAGTAGTAGTTTATTAGGATCCCCAGTAGTAGTTTATTAGGATCCCCATTAGTAGTTTATTAGGATCCCCATTAGTAGTTTATTAGGATCCCCAGTAGTAGTTTATTAGGATCCCCAGTAGTAGTTTATTAGGATCCCCAGTAGTAGTTTATTAGGATCCCCAGTAGTAGTTTATTAGGATCCCCAGTAGTAGTTTATTAGGATCCCCATTAGTAGTTTATTAGGATCCCCATTAGTAGTTTATTAGGATCCCCATTAGTAGTTTATTAGGATCCCCATTAGTAGTTTATTAGGATCCCCATTAGTAGTATATTAGGATCCCCATTAGTAGTTTATTAGGATCCCCATTAGTAGTTTATTAGGATCCCCATTAGTAGTTTATTAGGATCCCCATTAGTAGTATATTAGGATCCCCATTAGTAGTTTATTAGGATCCCCAGTAGTAGTTTATTAGGATCCCCATTAGTAGTTTATTAGGATCCCCAGTAGTAGTTTATTAGGATCCCCATTAGTAGTTTATTAGGATCCCCAGTAGTAGTTTATTAGGATCCCCAGTAGTAGTTTATTAGGATCCCCAGTAGTAGTTTATTAGGATCCCCAGTAGTAGTTTATTAGGATCCCCATTAGTAGTTTATTAGGATCCCCATTAGTAGTTTATTAGGATCCCCATTAGTAGTATATTAGGATCCCCATTAGTAGTTTATTAGGATCCCCATTAGTAGTTTATTAGGATCCCCATTAGTAGTTTATTAGGATCCCCATTAGTAGTATATTAGGATCCCCATTGGTAGTTTATTAGGATCCCCAGTAGTAGTTTATTAGGATCCCCATCAGTAGTTTATTAGGATCCCCATTAGTAGTTTATTAGGATCCCCATTAGTAGTTTATTAGTATCCACAGTAGCTACAGCAAAAGCAGCAGCTACTCTTCCACACAAAACCAAAAACATGACATAATACAGAACATTAATAGACAAGAACATCACAAGGACAGAACTACATACATTAAAATTCATAATCATGTGATTCATATAGTTTCTGTAGTTACCGGAGTTGTTAGACCCCTGCTCATATATAATGAACCAAAAGTGAGTTTCACCTACGGTCCTCCCGCTTTGGCTTTCACCTGAGTCACCATGATCAGAATTAACAGACGTGAATGCAGCAACCTTGAATCGTGTTGAGTTTCCTCCCTCTAAAGATTAAACTTAATGGTTTCCACCTCAGCAACTTTTCTTTAAAAAAAATTGATTAAATACTTTTTTTCCCCCTCATCAATCTACGCACAATACCCCATAATGACAATGCAAAAACAGGTTTTTAGGTTTTCAGACCCTTTACTATGAGACTCAAAATTGTGCTCAGGTGCATCCTGTTTCCATTGATCATTCTTGAGATGTTTCTACAACTTGATTGGAGTTTCTACAACTTGATTTGGAAAGGCACACACCTGTCTATATAAGGTCCCACAGTTGACAATGCATGTCAGAGCAAAAACCAAGCCATGAGGTCAAAGGAATTGTCCGTAGAGCTCCGAGACAGGATTGTGTCGAGGCACAGATCTGGGGAAGGGTCCCAAAAAATGTCTGCAGCATTGAAGGTCCCCAAGAAGACAGTGGCCTCCATCATTCTTTAATGGAAGAAGTTTGGAACCACCAATTCTCTTCCTAGAGCTGGCCGCCCAGCCAAACTGAGCAATCGGGGGAGAAGGTCCTTGGTCAGGGAGGTGACCAAGAACCCGATGGTCACTCTGACAGAGCTCTAGAGTTCCTCTGTGGAGATGGGAGAACCTTCCAGAAGGACAACCATCTCTGCAGCAC